ACCACTTTCTATCTTTGACAAAATTCTCAAAAACAAAAGGGGAAAAGAGGCCATCAAATGTAATTTACCGTACACACATTTATCAGCAGCTACTTGGTCCTGGCCACAATGGACCTTCTGCAGCTGGCTGTCAAACCCCCAAAAGCTGCTCATCATCCACCTTCTTAGTCTCTTAGAAGGAATTTCACTTGGGTCAAAACAAGTCAACTGTCTTTCTCACCAGCAGTAATATACTGGAATAAAGTGTCAAGCATAATTCTGGCTGCCAAGATTTTGTTCTAAAGAAAAAAGACTTGTAACTATGAAAGGGAACATTAAATTAGAGCTATTGTCTGAAATAAAAGGGCAATCTGCATCTTTAGCTTGACTGGGATAACACTGAGGTCTTGATCTGTAGTCAGACCAGAGGAAAAGGAAGCAACCAGAAAAAAGGCCACATATCACAACCCCCACCCCCAAAGAGTAAACTACTGAAAAAAAAAAAAAAAGTGTGCCAGTAGCAATGTACAAATAAAACTAGGGTCATACTTTAGAATAGATCCATGTGCTGTGCAATAAATACTAACTCTTGGTAAAGAGAAATATTACAGAAGCCTTAAACAGAGGTGTCCAATCTTTTGGCTTCCCTGGGTCACATCAGAAGAACTGTCTTAGGCCACAAATAAAATACACTAACAACAGCTGATGAGCTTAAAAAAACAAACAAACAAAAATCACCAAAAAAACCTCATAATGTTTCAAGAAAGTTTATGAATTTGTGTTGGGCCACATTCAAAGCCATCCTGGGCCCCATGCAGCTTGTGGGCCGCGGGTTGGACAAGCTCTTCTTAAAGGACGAAGTAGACTGATGTGTACTGACACACAAAAAAATGTCCACAAAATGATGGAAATTGCAAATAATGGGTTATAAAATCTGCTAGAATGAGTGCGGTCTCATTGTTTTTCAAAGTGTAAATAAACATGGTTGTGGACAAACAAAATAATTTCAAAAGATATACGAAAACTATTAAGAATGGTTTTTATCTATGCAAAATAGAATTATGGATTATAAAAACTTTATTTCTGCTTTATAGCTTTCTCCCTTCAAAATAATAAGAATGTGATTACATTTATAACCATTGTTATGTCCAGGTTTGATAAATAAAAGACAAACAGCATGATAAGCTCTTCTTCCTTTCACCAAATGAAATACCAGAGGCCTCCAAACTCATGAAATGAGGGACACATAAAGACTTTCCAAGCTGCCCAATGTCCTCAGGGAGCCATTTTCTTTCTTGCTCTTTCGCAGGGGTTTCCAATGCATCTTTTTTTTTTTTTTTTTTAAGCAGAGCTTTTTCTTTAAGCAGGATCCTGTATGGAACCTCAAAATGTAAGATAACAGTAGAATTTCTTCTATTGAAGGGGATGGGAATGCAGAGAGCTAAAGCTATTCATCCTCACCTCCTGCAGTACCCTCTGAATATACTCAGAACTCCACAGCACAAGGGGAAACACTGTGATTAATCCAAGTATCTCATTGTACAGTTGGGAAACTGAGGCCCAGGGATTATTCTCCAGTCATGGCCTGTCTTATTGACTGGTCTGTGGGTCACTTTACTTAACAGGCATTATAGACAAAGTAACTGGGGCCTGCAAGCTTTTCAAATACGTACCAAAAGTTTAAGAGAAACTGAAAACACACAAATTGGCTCCAATATACCAAAAGAATACTGAATAATTAAAACTAATAAATGTATAGCTAAACATCAAAAAGAAAAAGAAACATAATGGTTCTTGAAGTTCAATATGATTCAAGCACACTACGCACCCTGGTAGCTTTGCAAATGAATACATTTTTCTATTGTCTGAGGTTTATGTTTAGCCATACCTAACCACCGAGGTTAACACAAACTAGAATCAGCTACTGAGAAAAGACAAGTGGGCCGGTGTGGAGGCTCACATCTGTAATCCCAGCACTTTGGGAGGCCGAGGCGGGCAGATCACAGGAGATTGAGACCATCCTGGCTAACACGGTGAAACCTTGTCTCTACTGAAAATACAAAAATTAGTTGGGCATGGTGGCACACGCCTGCAGTCCCAGCTACTAGGAGGCTGAGGCAGGAGAATCGCTTGAACCCCTGGGGGGTGGAGGTTGCAGTAAGCTGAGATCACATCACTGCATTATAGCCTGGGCAACAGAGCAAGACTCGTCTCAAAACAAACAAAAAACTGAAAAGAGATGGGAACAATCCATTGATCAAATTCCCCAAAGACTCCAATGGCTTAAAGAGCATAATCTAACAAGATAAATGTTCACGGGCATAAGCATATGATTCTAAACTTTGGTCTAAAAAAAACCATTGAAAGGCCAGGTGTAGTGGCTCACGCCTATAAGCCCAGCACTTTGGGAGGCCAGGGGAGGCGGATCATCTGAGGTCAGGAGTTTGAGACCATGACTCTAACATGGTGAAATCCCATCCCTACTAAAAATACAAAAATTAGTCAGGTGTGGTGGCCCACACTTGTAATCCCAGCTACTTGAGAGGCTGAGACAGGAGAATCGCTTGAACCTGGGAGGAGGAGGAGGTTGCAGTGATCAGAAATTACACCACGGCACTCTATCTTGGGCAATAACAGAGTGAGACTCTGTTTCAAAAAAAGAAGGTAAAACTAGTTGAAGAAAAATGGGATGATGGAGACTTGTGTCATCACCACAGAAAAAGTAAAAAGTTCCAGAAATATTGGTTCACAATAAGCTTAGAATGGAAAAAAAGCAACATACGCACAATGTGAACAATGACCACTCCTATATGTAGTCATGGGCACTCCACTTTCTCAAGATGTGAGAAAAACCCTGTTACATTTCACTGGGACTATGAAAATGCTTAATTAACAAACAGTTAAAAAAATAAGAGGTGTTTCAATCTAAAGGACTTTAGAAATCTCTCTCATGAAATATTAAAAGACTATTATGAGGAAGAGGAATTAGACTTAGTCTGTGACCCTACTAAAAAAAAAATTAGGTAAGAAATTATGGCAGAATTCTGGTCAACAGATCATTTTTCTAACAGGGGTGTATAGACAGAGTGGCTGGAAGCAGTCTGTGTTCTTCCATCACTAGATGTCTTCATGCAAATCCTAGACAACCACTTGAGGGCACTGGAGACGTGGGCCTTCATGCATTCCCACTCAAACCAGCAGACAGAAAGAAAGGTAACAAAAAAACATTCCACCCCTGGGGTCCAAAAGTATATATTAGGAAGACTGTCTCAGGTTATTTGGATACATACCCCAGATAAGACTGGGTACAGTCCTTGCCTTTCACCTGGGAGAGGAGAATCTATTGATATTCTGATGCAGTTGGGGGCATGTACAAAATGTACATACAAACAGAATTACACAAAATGGGGTGAAGCTAACCCTAAGCGAAGGCTTGGTCCTCTTTCAAGATCTCTAACCCTCTCAAAGGTGGTGTGTGCTTTAAAAAGAAAAACAAAAAACTGTAACAGCAGAAGCTGAAGAGAGGTCTCAGAGAAATGTAACCAAAACTCTTCTACCATAGTCTTAAAACATTTTATACAGTTGCCGTATAATTAAGAAATTACAAAGGAAAGCAAGTTTCATTAATGTATTGTTTTCCTTTTCCCATCTCTGAAGATTACACTCTATATGGTGAAATTAATGCTCCAATAATACCTTACTTAATGCTAAAATCTTGACCATCCCTAACAGCCTAGAGACCCTGAGAAAGGACTTAGACTTGTTTTACTTTGCCTTTTAAATTTGTACACAGATGTAGTCCTCTGATTTCTCACGACAAAGCAGAAGCGGTAAAGCAAAATAGAGAGTAAAAACATATGGAAGAAGAAAAAAAATAAAACAGAAAGCAAACAAGAACAAGCGAAGTACAATCAGCTGGTATTATTTATGTAGGGACAACCAGTGCCACAGGCCTCAATTGCTTGTAATCTTATCAAAGGGCAAGCATTCCATTAATATACCTGAGTAATGTGTTTTTGAAAAACACATGAGCAACCTAAAAATACATATGTCAGCCATTTTGGAAGCCTGTTTGGCAATGTCCTACAAAACTAAACATACTCTTACCATAGGATCCAACAATTGCACTCCTTGGTATTTACCCAAATATGCTGAAACTTAAGTCCACACAAAAACCAGCACACAAATAAATATTCATAGTAGCTTTATTCATAATTGCTAAAACTTGAACACAACCAAGATGTCACTCAGTGTGTGAATGATAAACAACTTGTGGTATATCTATACAGTGAAATATTATTCAGCATTAAAAAGAAATGAGCTATCAAGCCATGAAAAGACATGGAGGAATCTTAAATACATATTGCTAAGTGACAGAAGACAATCTGAAAAGGCTACATTTGTATGAGTCGAACCATATGGCATTCTGGAAAGGGCAAAACTACGGAGAAAGTAAAAAAATGGTTGTCAGAGGTTAGAGAAAGGGAAGATGAGAGCACCAGGACACTTTTGGAGTAGTGAAATCATTCTGTATGATTATATATTTGTCAAAACTCACAGACTGCACAAACACAAAGAATGAACTTGAATGTAAACTATGGAATTCTGTTAATATTGGTTCATCAACTATAACAAATCTGTCACACTACAGCAAGATGTTAATAAAAGAAACGGGTAGGAGACGGTATGGTAACTCTCCATATTCTCCACTGAGCTTTTCTATAAAGTTAAAACTCCTGTAAAAAATAAAGTATAAATATTTTTAAATATAGTTGTAACAAAACAATATTCCCTTAAGAAATCACGGTCAAATGGGGTACAAGGATTTTCAGGCATGGTCAGGAGCTCCTCCAATCTAAATCACCACAGCCTGACGTTATATAATACTGAATACTTTCACAGATTTATAGTTCATATATTACAAATTTGTTACGCATATATTACAGTTTATAAATATTCTTAGTTATATATGTATATATATACATGCACACATATCACTTATAGTTAATAAGTATGAATACCTAGTGCTGAACACATCTGAATGTAAATAAAGGATGAACAGTGGTGGGAAAAGACTGAGCAGTCAGGAGGGTGGGTCAGCTGCATCCAGTGAAGATTCCCTGATGCTGGTGGAGGCCTCCCCCTACCACCACTGGTGAGAGAAATGCCTCAGACCGCTGCTTCTTCACTTTAAACAATGGTTTGGTGGAGCTCATTTGCCAACACTAGCCTTTGTTGGCACTTGTCTTAAATTGTGTATCATGCTTTTCCAGCTCCCTCCCTGTAGTGGCATAGGATGTTAATAAAGATCTAACTAAAAAGTGCACAAGAGTTCAAAGGCATTTAGAACAACAGGAGTCACAATGCAGTTCAGTAAATCAGTGCTTTCCACAGTGACATCGAATTGCCAAGAAAAGATAAAATTGTAAACACACCACAGTATTCTGGCTTAATGAGCACAGAAATACTTGTGGGCTTCTTCTGCTTTTCCTGTTTCCCATAAAAAATGGTTAAAACCAAAACAGTACTTAATGTTTAATGAGATAAGCATCACCTATCTGGAAAATCGGTTTACTAGAAACATCTCATATAAATTTAAAAGCATGTTCAGCAATACAACTCTTTCCAGATGCCACTTCCACAGTGTTTGCATACTAAGAAACAGACTATCAATATCTGGTATAGGTAGTAAATTTAGAAGGTATGTCTGATATATAATGCTCATTCACTTTCTTTCCCTTTTCAACTAAGAATCAATTAAAATGGGATTACAGGCTTTATGTAACCGTTTTGCAATTTTACATAATCCTTAAAACCGGGTCCCTTCTATATTAAAGAGTACCAAAAAATACATACATTTAAATGGGAAGAGAAGACACAAAGGAAAAAAAACAAAATATTGACTGTGGTATTGGATAGCTAGGCTACAGATTTTTATCATCTTCATACTTCCCTTTATTTTTAAAATTCTCTACCAAAAACATATATTACTTTCACATTCCATTATACCAAATATTTACAGCATTTAAAATGAGTCAACTATAACTACATGTGCCAATTAAGTTTAACCTCTTATACAAAGTTTAAAAACATATAAAACATTATACTTTTTAGTTTTCCCTGCAATCCAAAGACTGTTACTTTTTTTCAGCGGATACATATACACATAGAAAAAGTTTGTAAAAATGCAGGGGGAGAATGATAAATACGAACTGAGAATAATGGTCACAGCTGGGAAGGGAGGGGATTAGGATGGGGAAGGGGTGCCCAACAAGCTTCAACAATAACTGTGATTTCTATTACTTTAGGTAGTAGGTGTATGAAATTTATCATATCGTTCTATATCCTTTTTTATGCCTAAAGTATTTCAAAAATTGTTTAAAGTGGCAACTACTGGAAGCATACCAAAAATAGTAGGGCTTAACCCTAATCTCTTCAAACTACTTAAATGGGGTTATAGTACTGAGTAAATCAGAGATCAATTTATCTTTTTTTTTTCTCTCTTTTGAGATGAAGTTCTGTTCTTGTTGCCCGGGCTGGAGTGCAATGACAGGATCTCGGCTCACTGCAATCTCAGCCTCCTGGGTTCAAGCGATTTTCCTGCCTCAGCGTAAAAAAATCCCCAAGTATCTGGGATTATAGGCATGTGTCACCACACCTGGCTAATTTTGTATTTTTAGTAGAGACGGGGTTTCTCCATGTTGGTCAGGCTGGTCTCGAACTCCTGGGCTCAAGCAGTCCTCTTGCCTTAGCCTCTCGAATAGCTGAGATTACAGACGCAAGCCACTGAGCCTGGCATATAATGAGAAATTTTTTTGAGAAATTTAAAGCAGTTCTGAAGGTCAGCAGTCATGTATATGCATAAGCAAACAGCAATCTGAAATCTGTGTTCCACAAAATATCTGTAGCAAACATTCCAGTCTATGCCTTACACACATAACTCAAAATTAAATCTGTCCAGTAAACTTAAGTACATACATTACTTTGAATATGCCTTTTTTTTAAAACACACTTATAACTCTGAAAGAATATTTTTTACTTTGGTCAGTTTTAAACAGTCTTCTAAGAATATCATAAAAATAGCATTAATTTCTGATAGGTATTTTCCAAATCGGTGATTTCAAATAATTTCTAACCATTCCTGGTTATCAGATGGTTTTAGTTTATCATTTTATGGTATGCTGTGGTACAATTAGGCAGAGGAAATCTAAGGAAACACTGAATAGGCTTCTCCCTAAAACTCAAATTCCTGGCCAGGCTCCATTGCTCACACCTATAATCCCAACACTTTAGGAGGCCAAGGTGGGAGAATTGCTTGAGCTAGGAGTTTAAGACCAGCCTGGGCAACACAGTGAGACCTCATCTCTAGAAAAAAATTTAAAAATTAGTCAGGCATGAGCTACTCGGGAGGCTGAGGTGAGAGGATGGCTTGAGCTCAGGCATTCAAGACCAGCCTGGGCAACATAGGGAGACCCCAACTCTACAAAAAAAAATTAAAAAGAAGACAGGCATGGTAGTGCACACTTGTGATCCCAGTTATTCAGGAGGCTCAGGTGGAAAGACTCCTTGAGTCTGGGAGATCAAGGCTGCAGTGAGCAGTGATCACGTCAGGGCAAGAGAACAAGGCCCTATCTCAAAAACAAACAACAACAACAACAAAAAAAATTTTTTTTAAATTTATTTTTATTTATTTTTTATTATTATTTTTTTATTTTTTATTTTTTTATTTATTTTTTTATTTTATTTTTTTTTTAGACGGAGTTTCGCTCTTGTTACCCAGGCTGGAGCGCAATGGCACGATCTCGGCTCACCGCAACCTCCGCTTCCTGGGTTC